TAGAATAGAATAGAATAGAATAGAATAGAATAGAATAGAATAGAATAGAATAGAAGAACAGAACAGAACAGAACAGAACAAAATAGAAAAGGAATAGGAATAGAATAACAGCAGAGTTGGAAGGGACCTTGAAGGTCTTCTAGTCCAACCTACTGCTTAAACAGGAAACCCTATACCAATTCAGACAAATGGTTATCCAGTCTCTTCTTCAAAACTTCCAGTGTTGGAGCATTTACAACTTCTGGAGGCAAGTTGTTCCACTGACTAATTGTTCTAACTGTCAGGAAATTTCTCTTAGGTTGCTTCTCTCCTTGATGAGTTTCCACCCATTGCTTCTTGTCCTGCCCTCCCTCAGGTGCTTTGGAGAATAGCTTGACTTCCTCTTCTTTGTGGCAGCCCCTGAGATATTGGAGCACTGCTATCATATCTCCCCTAGTCCTTCTTTTCATCAAACTAGACGTACCCAATTCATGCAACCATTCTTCATAATGTTTTAGCCTCCAGTCCCCTAATCATTGTTAATCTTTGCACTCTTTCCAGTGTCTCAACATCCTTTTTACATACAAATTGCCAATGTTGGAGACCCCTGGTCTTAAGTCCACATGGGTTTATGCATCGTCATGGTTAGTTTTGGCAAACAAATGGAAGTTTTAATTTGGCAATGAAAACTCTACCGTTTCTGTCCTAGATCATGTCCATCGCAACTAAGCGACTATTGTGGTTTACGAATCACAACGGTTAGAATTAACCCAGCAGGTTGAAGCAAAGGCAAGAGAGCCTGTATGATGTCCTAGTCTAGCATGTTTCATGAGTCCAGCACGACTGTTACATGGGGCTTCTCTCTGGCAGGAGGATCTGTTCCAGACCCCTGGCATGCAAGAGGAACTGCAAGATATTATTGAGTGCCTGGACACCAGCATCCCGGAGTCAATCCGTATCCTTTTCCTGGACAAGAGGATCAAGCAGCTAGATTTAGTCTGGATCCCGTTTTTCTCTATCTGATGCCTCAAAGTGTCCCTAACCAGAGTACAGATAGTCCTTAAGTTATGGCCATAATAGAGCCTGCACGTTATGGTTTTTAAGTCGTAGAAGTCGTGAAATGGGTCGGTCACACCAACAACCTGATTTGATGTTTTTCATGGTGATCCTTCAGCAAACGCTGCGCTTGTATGTGTCAGTGATGCAATCATTCAGTGAGGCCATTTTTTCCGTGGTTTTGCCGGGAAACCGGAAGGAAGTGCTGGGTTTCCGTCAAAACCATGGTAAAAATGCAGCCACGTGACCACAAGGCACTGCAAACAGCCATAAATGCAGCCATGTTGCCGAGGGTCCAAAATAACAGTCAGATGACCATTGGGTGGATTTGGGATCCAGGCCATCAATTCTCTTTTTCAAGTAGGTCGCAACTTAAGAGTCGCTAAGAGAATGGTTGTAAGTTGGGGAATAATTGTTCCCCTGAGCCTGTGGGTTAGGTTGTAGGCTGAACCTACCTGGTAAAATAGGAGGAGGAAGCAGGGAGGGCTCTTCAACTGCTTGGGAGGAGAGAAAGAGTCAGACAGTAGTGAAAAGGTTGGGGAGGAACCTGGGCCATTCCTGGAGGCTGAGGAAGGCTTGGATGAGGGCTCTGCATCAGAGGCAGAGATGGGACCAGGGCAGGCTGGCAGTCATTAGGGCTCAGACAGCAGTGAGGAGGAGGAGCTTCTGGAACCTGTTCTCAGCCTGCGCATGAGCAGAGCTGCCAAAAGGAAGGCACAATTAAGAACTCGGGCTCAACATGGGAGGTGGATGATGAGTGGCCACTCCCATCAGGATTAAAAGAGAAGCAAAAGGGGAGGGGGCTTCTGCAGGAAACTACTCACTCGTTCGTCTGTTCGTTCCAGCCTCATGAAGATTTGTCTGTGTAACCCAGTCCTTCTCTGTCAGTACTGAGTGTGGAACTATTTACCGGGCAGCGTTCCAGGATTGATAAAGGTCTCAGCTAATTAGGATACTTTCGCAAGACTGTTTGACAAGCCGTTGGCTGACTGTGAATGAAATAAATTCACATTAATGCAATAAAAGAGGTTTTTGCAGGGACTCAGAATTGACTTTGGGGAGGCCTAGGACAGAACAGTGGTGGCAGACATCTTCTTCCTTGACGGAGGACCTTCAGCTGGTAGCAATCACTCGGTGGCTGAAGCTCTGCTGATCTTCCTGGAGGCCCTTCCCGAGCCCGTCATCTGCTACGAACTTTACCAGCGCTGCCTTGACTGCTCCCAGGATAGTCGCCTCTGCCGGCAGGTAGGGCCCCAGAGGTCGTTCGTCTCGGTTCATCCTGGTTCTCGTTTCCTCCTTTCAGCAGGGGAGGGACCGAGTTTTAGTTCCCTGTTGGCATCGGTATCTGCAGCGAGCCCAACTCTTTCCCGGGTAAGTAGGACGTGGCCAGCAGTTCTCTTGCCTCTTTCACACACTCCTCGGTACCAGCACGGACCATCCAGGGAAGAGGTCGGCAACCTTACACACTAAGGGCCACAAAGGTCCTAATTGAAAGCCCCCCCATTCAATTCTGGGGCCGAACTGTAAGTCCAGTTCCCCGACCCTAGAGTCTCCTAGCATGGCGTCCTTTTTCCTCTGCCAACCAAAAGTCCAGTTCCCCCACCCTAGAGTCTCGTCCTAGTGCTGTGTCTTTTTTCCTCTACCTGTCCTAACCGAAAGCCCTACCAATTGTGGAGCTGACCGGCAACAGAGAGCCGCAGCAGAGGGATGAAAGAGCCACATGCGGCTGTAGAGCCGCAGGTTGCTAACCTCTAGTCCAGGGATATGCACAGAGGCTCCCATTCCCTCCTCTGTGTGTGGTAAGCAGAGACCCAATATTGAGGGTCAGTACTGTTAACTCCTCTCCAGCATAGGTGCTGCGGTCGTAATTCTCACTCCTTCCTTTATAAGAGCCATGGTGCAGTGGTTAGAATGCAGTACTGCAGGCTGCCTCTGTCCACTGCCAGCGGTTCGATTCTGACCGGCTCAAGGTTGACTCAGCCTTCCATCCTTCCCGAGGTCGGTCAAATGAGGACCCAGTGTTGTGGTCCACCGTCAGCCTGCGAAGACGGCAGCAGAGTCGGACAGCGGGGAGGAACATGGGCCAGTCCGGGAGTCTGGGGAGAGCTCGGACGAGGCTCCTGCATCCGATGCAGAGATGGGGCCAGGACCATCTGGGAGTTAATGTGCTGACTCCAGAGCCTCCAGAATCTGACAGCAGCAAGGCAGAGGAACAGGGGGAGACTGTTCCCAGTGCACGCTTGCGCAGAGCTGCCAGAAGGCAAGAACACTTAAGACAAAAGGGGCGACTTGGGAATAAGGCTTGGAGATGATTGGCCCCTCCCATCAGACATAAAGGAGGAGCAAAGGGACAGGAACCTTTGCAGGAAGCAACGTTGTTCGCTCTGTTCGGATTAAACCTTGAAGCTCTGTGTGGACTTTGTATTCCATTTGGCTTTTTACAGTTAATTTGGCACTTTAGTTGTTGGCAGCAATTCAAAGGAGAGAAAGATGGGTGCTTATCTCGAGGGACTGTTTGGGACTCATTACGGGCTGGGAATGAACATAATTCCCAGCCGTTGAAATAAAAAGAGGGTTGTTTGGACTAAGCGTGTGCTTAATTACGGTCTCAGGAAGCCTTGGTCAGAATACCCAGATTGTTGGGGGCAAATAAACTGCTCCAAACGTGCTGCCAAATGTTATGGAGCGGCACATAAGTGCTATTGCTATCACTTTTCCAGGTTATTAGCCTGTTACCACGCTCACACCGGAACGTCTTCCGCTACGTGATGGCCTTCCTGCGAGAACTTCTGAAGTACTCCGAGAGCAACAACGTCAGTGCCAACATGCTAGGTGAGAACCAACTGAGTGGACCGGGGGGGGGGGCCCCCCCCCCCCCCCCCCCTTCCCAGCCCTTTTTATCACCCAAACGTTTGCTTCCTCCCAGCCACCCTCTTTGCCAGCCTCCTGCTGCGGCCTCCGCCCAACCTGGTGTCTAAGCAGACTTTGCAAGATCGCCAGCGAGCCAACAGTTTCATCCTGGGCTTCCTGCTGGGAGCAGATGACTACTAAAGACCTGGTGTTGCATGCTGTGAGCCAGACGAGTGGCCAGGGAGGAGGAGGAGGAGAGCCCAGAGGTTCTGGGCTCCGGGACAGTTTACTACAGGGATTAAGATGCTTTCCAACACTGCGTGCGATTCCCTGTTCCTAAATTTTATCTGTGCCGGTCGCTGGTGGTAGAATCAGGAGGGTTCCTGGTGGTTTAGCAGACGGCCCGTTTGCTGATCTTGGCCGGCAGGCGGTAACAGTTCCGTCCACTCCCAGTCTAGTACTGTATTTCCCCATCTTTTATTGCACCAGTTTTATCCTCTTTAAGTCATGACGAGGGCCAGGATCTTTTCTCTGTTAGGGAAGACAAGCAAAAGCCCCGTTCATTCTCTTCGCCTGCTTTTGTACAGTCCGGTTGTCTGCTCCCATCTGTGGCCCTTGCTCTCCACTCACCTGGCCTCCCACTGTAGTAGGTTGTATTTCACACACACACAAAACAACAACAACTTGTATTTCACAAAACACCACACACTGCCAAAGCAGAAGAGGGAGGGGGAGGAGAGGGGGAGGTGGGAGTAGCAGATCCTTGGCTTTCAAGCGAGGTCCACGGGCGAATCCGGGTAATTGGTTTCCCCTTCCTTTGAAGTTTCTGCAACTTTTGTCTTTCCGGTTGTCCGTTTTCAGGTTTCTGTACTTTGTGCATATTCACCCTTTCTCTCTCTCTCTCTCTCTCTCCTTTTTTTTAAAAAAACTGTATAATTTATTGGGAAAGTTGTTTCAAAATAAATCCGCATTGTGCAAAAGGTGTCTTGGTGTTCGGCGGCAAGGAGCAGAGCGGTTGAGGGCTTCTCCGGAGATCTGTCGGGGATCCTTAGCGAGGCTGGAATGGAGATTTTTGGAAACCTTCCAAATCTTAGAAAAGGGGGAATCAGTTCCATGAAACAATGCTGCTCCTTATACAAGGACAAGCTTGTGCTTCGGTAACCCTGCTTTATGCTGTGGGTTTTGGTTGACCTGTGTTTAACAAGCCATAATATAGCATGGGGACATGGTGGCTCAGTGGCCAAGATGCTGAGCTTCCGATCAGAAAGGTTGGCAGTTCAGCGGTTCGAATCCCTAGCACCACGAAATGGAGTGAGGTCCCATTACTTGTCCCAGCTTCTGCCAACCTAGTAGTTCGAAAGCATGTAAAAACCGCAAGTAGAAAAATAGGGACCCCTTTGGTGGGAAGGTAACAGCGTTACGTGCGCCTTTGCCGTTTAGTCATGCCGGCCACATGACCACGGAGACGTCTGGACAGCGCTGGCTCTTCGACTTTGTAAAGGAGATGGGCAGCGCCCCCTAGAGCCAAAAATGACTAGCGTGTATCTGCGAGGGGAATCTTTACCTTTACCTAATATAGCATGACTTGCAAATACGACTCTAGAGATTGGGCCTGGTTGCTGAATCTGCTTTTTACAACAGGAGCTAAATATAGAGCTGAATGGTGAGTTACCTGGGGAATATTTGTGTGGGGTGTTCAGTGCTGTCTGAGCTTGGCTGTTTTCTTGCAGACATTTCATTACCCAACTAGGTAACAGCATCAGTGCACTTCGCAGAAAGAAAGCCTGCAGTATTATGCAAGGGTATCCTACGTAATTCCATATATGCTCATTCCATGTAGTCCACTCCAATGTTTTAGGGCAGGGGTGTCAAACTCGATTTTATTGAGGGCTGCATCAGGGTTGTGTTTGACCTCGGAGGGCAGGGGATAGGCATGGCCATGGTGGGCATGACACAGGACTTCTGTTGGGGGCACCTGTGAGGGCCAAGGGCTAAGGCAGGACTTCCCCAAGACCCTCACTCTCATTATAAAGCTCCTTCCTTCCTTTCCTTCTCCTTCTTTCTTCCTTCCCGTCTTTCCTTATTTTTCTTGCCTTGCTTTCCTCCCGTCTTTCCTCTTTCCTTTTCTCCATTCCTGTCCTTTCCTGCATGTTCAAATGCAAAAGGGGACACATTTGTCCTTTTGTTTTTAGTTTGTTTTGATAACCCTCTGACAGCGAAAACAAAGCCCTGTGGGTTGCATGCAGGGAGGGCCCCCTGCACCCCGTTTTTCGGCAGGACGGCCTCCTGCAGACTTCTGCCAGTGAAAATGGAGTTCAGGGGGCCACGTGTGCATCCCCCCAAGCTCCATTTTCACCGGCAGAGGCACTGCGGGCCAGTCCTTTGCTGTTTCCAGGCTGGCCCCATGGGCCAGATCTAAGCACCGCACAGGCCTGATCCAGCCTGCAGGCCTGAGTTTGACACCCCTGTTTTTTGGGCCTCACCCATCTCTTCTTAGGTGTGCCTTACCTCTTCTTCCAAGGCCTCGTTTGCATTGATGCAAGGCTTGCTCCTTTTCTACGCCAAAACCTCCACACTTTAGTGCCGTGATGGCGAACCTATGGCAGGTGTGCCACAGGTGGCACGCAGAGCCATTTGTGCCGGCACGCGAGCTGAGGCAAACTTACCTCACTGCGCGTGTGCATGCCTCACAGCTAATTTTCGGCCGGTTTGAGGCCTTTTTCAGGCCTCCCA